GGGTTATGACCAAGCTCATGACTTCAGGAAATTTTCTGGGATCTCAAGAACTTAAAATTTTCTTGTCATCTTTTGTTTCTGATGCTGTATAGAGGATGGGAACTGATGCTTCTCCTGCTGTTCCATCCACACCAGTGGGAGTGCCTGAGTTCTGAGATCTGCTGGCCTCTCCCCACATAGCGAGTGAGGAAATGGCACAATGAGGAAACATTTTCAAAAGTGGCAACTGGGGAGGGGGAATGTATCTAATTATTCCTGCCTTGATTTCCATTTGTCTTCTATTTCCCTCATGTCATGCTGCTGTTCTCCCAGATAGAGCTGTTGCTCCTGTGGCAGAGTAAATGGTTTGTGCACAGCAGCATTTGCTCTGTTTCAGGTTGGTAGCAAGCTAAAAGAGGTATAGACTTATACACTGTACTTTCAGATGAGCCTGAATGATAAAATCTCTGCTTGTACTTAGTCTAGATTGCTAGAAGTTCAGGTGCTGCAGCCCCAAGTGCTCTGGTCCTGTGCAAGTTCTGATTGTGTTCTTTCTAGCCATTACCTCAGTAGAAGCCATAGCAGTTTCCAGCTCCTCAGTAAGGGCTGTGCAGAGTCAATTGCTTGCTGTGATCTGCAAGCCTCCAGATACCTGTACACTGGCTAATGCTGTTATGTTGTGTAAAGTGTCTCTTCGTGACTGACATTGATCATATGAGGAGTCTTCACTTACTGGAATGCTGAGGTGCCAATATAGCTTATATGAAAAACAAACTTGCAGTGACATAGAAGCTTTACATGTCCTGGCAGCTTGTGTGCAATCTGTTTCATTTTCATTTATTAATTGGCTCCAGACCAGGGCATTATGTTAGCTATCTTCTGTTTCAAATGAAAAGAAAGTAACGTTAACATACTGCGGGCATCACAAAATGAAGACATTATTTCCTCCTGACCTGCTAGCTCGTGGTTTCAGACTCGACTGTGATTTGTTGAGCTGACATTTAATTGGGGGCAATGGAAGTTTAAATCTGAATAACCATTACTCCCAGCCTGCTTCTCTTCCCAATACTAACCCCTTCATCACAAATTGAAATTACTTATCTAGAAAGGAGGATTTTGTGGAAGGAGGAAAAACAGAGCCAAACAACTGAACTCAAAACAGTGATGCTTTTTTGTAGCATCTCACTCCTCTCCCACCTCTCTGCTCATCACCCACAGGGCACATTCCTCAGCACCCTCAGGAGGATGCCCTATGTGGTGTTCCCAACTTGCTCAGCTGCAGGTTGCTGTGTACTGGGTGCAGATGCTGCAGATACAGATGCGTGCAGGCTGTCCTACCAGCCCAGGGCTGCATGGTGCACCCAGCAGATGTTGGGAGATAGGTGGCAATGCACACGACCATATCAGGCGCTGCCATCAAGATTGTCAGATCTCGGTCGGTGCTTCATGCTTGAACATTTTATTTCTTCTTTCTGATTGTGCAACTGATGCTAAACAGGATGGTATAAACCATAGGAACATCTGAGTCTGCACGGCTTAAGGGCAACACCAGAGGTGAAGATTTTGGCTCCAGCCTTGCTGCAAAAGTGTTGTCTGTTCCTTCTGGTCTCTTCTGCCTGAGCTATCAGAGCATCTGTGACCCTGCAGGCCAGTACAAGGCACAGGCTCTCCCTTTGGTCCTTCCTAGGCTGAGGCTGCACTTTCCTGTTCACTCATGACTTAGTGTTGGTTTTGCCCCAGTGTGGTTTTGTGGCTTTGTGTTTTTGTTCCTGGAGGGGAGCTTTTTGGCTCGCTCTGATCCACAGCTGTTTGGCTCACATTTCCCTCCTTCAGCATGAGTTTCTGGTTTAGGCAACCAGAACACAGTCTGCTTACTTAGCACATATACATATATATGGCCACTGATTGCACTGGCAGAGCTGTCTGGCACTGCTGGTGCACTGCACAGAGATGCAGGGACAGATGGAAATGGCTGAGGCTGATGCAGATGAAACCAGCTGCTCACATTGTTCGATGAAAGCCAGCATGGCAGCAACTACGCAGCCCACAAACAGAGGGCAGAACAGAGCCGTGCCACCCTGCTGATGTGAGACCAGTGATTTCAGCTGGGCATGCCCCTGACATCTGTGCCAGAAGCAGCAGCCATAGCACGTTCATCTGCCCACAGTAGAGCAGAAAGCCTGATGTCGTTGCCAGATGCCCACTTTCTGTGGCTTTTCCTGTGATAAGAGCTCTTCCAGAACAAGCTCTTACCCTATAGCACAGGTTTCTTCCTTTAGCCCTACCAATGCACTTCTTTGGTTCTCATTTTCACTTGCCTGACTGCCCATATGGGCTTTTTCATCTGGTGATCGTGCTACTGTTGGAACAACATAATTTCATCACAGCACTCAAACTGTGCTGTCACTATTTAGCTATAGTAACAATAATTTTCTTAAATTCATTTTTCCAGCAGTTTTGTTTCTGAACACAGGAAGCTCAATCCAATCCACCTCCACCTCAGAGTCACTGGAGTAGGTACACTGTGAGCTCTTGCGGGGGAGTGCATCCTGATATTAGGTCAGGACAGTCTGACCAAACATCAGATTTCTGTGAAAGCAGCTAAATAATTTTCTGAAAAAAAAAAAAAAAAAGAAGAAAGAAAAGAAAAAGAAAAAAGAAAAGGGCATGTGCTACATAAACACCTGTGGGCTGCAGCCTAGAGCCGTCATACATTCTAAACTCTGCTTTTCTTGTTCCTAGGTTACAAAAGATGAAGAGCTACTCCTCTGGAGTGAGTGCCTCTGTGGACAGCAGTGCCTACTTTGTTTTAACAATGCAGAACTCCTAGAAACTCTGACTTTTTCTTCCATTTGCCCCAACCTATTGGGAAGCGGAAGCTATAAAGGAGTGAAATGCTGCTCTGTTTGTTGTGTTTTTTCCTCATTCTTGTCTGAACAGAATTTGTGAGCAGCATGAAGTGGTGACACCAGCAGTGTCTCATACATATCCCTGTGGTTCCATGTATCAACAAGTGGCACTTAGCAGAGAAGGACTAGCTTTGTGTAAAGGGCCACCTGCGTTCCCCAGCATCAGCACTTGTTTTCCTGTGTGTCGACATATTCAATTTGTTTTGCTAACATCCTCTTAGACACAGCAGTGCTAATTCAGGATTCTTTGTGATCACAGTAACACAGAACTCTCTGACCCTAAAATAATGCTTTCACAGAGATAGCACATCCTTTATTTTACACATTAGCTGCTTTGAAAAGATATCTTCATAAACTCATAACAAATTGATAACTGGCTCAAGCCAGAAGCACAGTGAGAATGGCCCTTCTCACCACTGCACCACAGAGTCACAGTGTAAATGCAGGCAACACATGCCCATTCTTAGCCCAGGAGGAACAGAGCAGAGTCAGTCCCCCTGCTTCCCCTTGCTCAGCCCCTAGTTGGTCTGTTACGACCCTACAGGTCACATTTTCCTGCATTTTATTGCTATTTTCAAAGAACACGTACAAGTGGAAGAGAGCTGGTAAACAAACCCATCAGAGCACAAATACCATCTTGAGAGATAATTAACATTTGTTTGCGTCAGTAAGATTAGGCTGCAATTCTATTAGAACTGAAAAAGACATTTTATATCAGGGGTGATAATTTGTGTGCTCTTAGAAGTTGTTTGCATTATGCAAAGAATTTGTGGAGAGATGAGGATAGAAATGAGGGTGGCTGCGCTGTACCATCAGCACAGGAAGAACTGGGAGCTGGGGTGCCCAGTGCCCCAACACACAGCTGTCAGCCCCCAACACACAGTACAGGGCAGTCTGACTCTCTGCAGACAGTATGTGCAGCTGAGTTCAAGTGCAGGATGTAGAAGGCGTGGGTGAGAAAGGTTGTGCTATTGAGAAGAAGGGGGCATGCAGGATGTGAAAGTGGAGCCGGATGGCATGCAGCTGTTGACATGGACCTGGGAACAGCAGTGGGGGGAAATGCTGTCTTGTAAAGTAAGGAGATCACTCAGATCCGACTTTCATGTATGCACTGTGTATCTACAGGCTGTCTGTAGACCAAGAGTATGTATGGGTGGTACATCTCATTTTAGTGCCTAGTTGTATTTCTCCTTTTTTTTTTTTGCTCCTAGAAAAACTGTAAGTTAGTGAGCAATTTTACATCTATATACATATATCATATTTACCTCAATGACTGTAGAATAGCATGTGATGTTTAGGAATGCTGAAAATGGGACTGCTGAATTATCATGACCCAGAACCAGCAAAATAGCCAGTGACTGACTTTTTCAAGAGATTCATATCCCACGGCTCAGGCCACTGTCAAATCTGAGGGAGACCTGCTGCTCTCTCCATGCTGCAGAGGGAGCTAATCCCTAAATAGCGTTCTCCTGGAGGGGCTCAGGGCTGGTGTGAGCTCAGCCTGACAGGACTTCCCAGATACTGCTGCAGTGGCCAGGCTGTTGGGACTGACTGGGCAGAAGTAAGAGTGGGTTCAGAGGAGGACCAGGATGCTCAGAAGGCTGGAACACTTCTACTATGAAGACAGGATGAGGGAGCTGGGCTTGTTTGGTCTGGAAAAGGCTTTTGGGAGGCCTGATAATGGCCTTCCAGTACTTGAAGGAAGCTTATGAAATGAAGGGGACTGACTTCTTACATGGTCTAATGGTGATAGGACAAGGGGGAATGGCTTAAATTAAAAGAGGGGAGATTTAGATTAGATATTAAGAAGAAGTTGTTTACGCAGAGGGTGATGAGGTGCTGTGGTGCCCCATCCCTGGAGGTGCTCAAGGCTGGGTTGGATGGGGCCCTGGGCAGCCTGAGCTGGTGGGGGGCAGCCCTGCTTGCAGCGGGGGTTGGAAATAGGTGGGCTTTAACATCCCTTCCAACCTTTGCCATTTTGTGATTCTGTGATTCTATGGATGTGGTTCAGGTTTTCATTGCTGTTTCTGAGAGACAGGGTCCTTTGTAAACCATACTGCTAACCCTAAACCCTCCTTGATTTGGCTGTGCTCCTTCCTGAAAATACTCTCTGCTTCATCATCTGCCCAGATGCATACCTGGAATAAAGTAACCCACGTATTTGACATGAATTAGCTTATAACGTTTATGAGAAAAAGCTACAGTGGAATGAATGTGCTGACAAAAGACTGCTTTGTTTCTGTTGGCTGCATATTTATCAGGATTACTGAAGCATTACTGAAGCATCTCTGAGGATGCAACCTATATGAGACTCTGCTTTAATGTACACACACCCACGCCATCACAAGCCTGAGGGTTTTTGCTTTTGCTGGTGCTATTGGTGAAAACCTGTGGCTGCGCACAGGGGTTTGGTCGATGCTTCTGCTTCCAGAGCAGCTGTGAGCCCCTGGAAGAGGGGCTGCAGCCATAAAGCACCACTTCCACACTTTGACACTTCTGAGCTGTCCGGAATTATTTGGGATTTTTCCTGGCTGAAGCTGGACAGAGCCTAATTTCAGTGCTGATAGAGCAAGATATGTTTAGGGAGACTGAAAACAATGTATGTCATGCAAATAGCCACGTCCTTTTAATACAGTAAGGATATTATAAATCCAAGGTTACAAGTTATTGAATTAAATAAAATAAGACATAAGGAACAGAACGAATATTTAAACATTAGCAGCTATGCAAAAAAATATGACTACTGCACTGGAAAAATACAAGAATTTCAACAGACAAAGCAAATATACACCAAGTTGCTAGGACTCTTCCTGTATTAAAAAGCAGTGTACCTTTCTGGACAAACAGGAAGACTGTTACATGTGGGTAACTTACTGTGTAAATAGTGCAAATAGACATGGGTATTTTATTCATTAAAAACGTACGTTTGAGTTCAGATCAAGCACAGCACATACTGTACTGGATGTTTATGATACGCTTTTGCTTATTCCTTTATCCCTTCTGTCACTGTGTTACTGGAAGAGGATATATTTCCAGCACATTCTCTCTACATCTACAGTTACACTGTGCAAGTCTGCACAGTATGAGCATTACTAGCAGCTATTTATTTTAATGCAAAACAAGCATTATAAAGCAAATGAATGTCCAGGGCTTTCACCTTGTTTTACTGTATTAATAAATTTATAATATGGTGAGAAACAGCAATAAAAAACTCTGCAAATGTCACTGTACTTCCATGAGCCAAACCCCATGCCATTGTGCTGCAGAGACTGGGGGTGGCAGACAGCTGTCCTGGAAGCATTGGTTTTCTCCAGCAGACTATGTCAAACATAACAGCTTCTCAGTGGTTATTAGCAGTTGGAAAATGTCTGGGTAGCTTTGAGGATGAGGGAGGACTCTTTTTGCCCTTATACTCCGGGAACACAGGCATGTCAATAAAGGACATTTCAAGCAGCTAGAGGAGCTGGCACTTCACAGTCAGGTGAACCTCAATCCCAGAGCACAGCAAGGCGGCTTGGATTTCCCATGGCCACGCTGCTGGGCTGTCATGCAGCCACGTGGCTGTAGCAGCTTTGTCTCCAAGAGTGTGCTCCACAGTGTGCAGTGTCCCACAGGGACAGTGGAGTGACTCAGTCCTCTCAATGGCAGCACATGGGGAGTCCCTCAGAAATGGGCACAGAGTCCAGAAAGACAAATGGGAAGAGACAGGGTGCCTTCCTGGGTCATAACATTAAAACTACATTACCTCCAGGCAATTTACAAGATTCTGTTTTTGATATATGGGTCTTCGGATCAGTGGCAAGATTCGTGATGTTCCATTCATATTCCTAAGCCAGAAGCCACATAAAAAAAGTACCTGGCCCAATTGAAAGTATTCTTATGCAGACACAGCCACTCGTGATAATTCTAGTGAGCAAACATTGCCTGAACATCTGTTCTGTCCTGGAAAGTACTTGCATGCTGCACTAATGCTTGCACAAGAGCTGCAGAAAAAGAAAGCAACATGCATTTTATAGCCCCAGTTCAGTTACAGGAAGAACTAGGACTTTGCTTTTCATTGATTTTGTTTTGTTTTCTTAGCTAAAAACTGCAAATACACAACAGGAGATACTGAAGGTCTTTAATACATGTATGGATCCTGATTTTAGCTGTGGGGTATGTGTATACAAATAGCAAAGACAGTGGTATACTGGGTTTTGTGCTGTTTTCATCCTTCAAAAAATCAGTCTGAGAAGACATCTTCCAAAAGTGATTCCATGTGTTTTTTCCTGGGAGCTCTGTCAACTACCTTTGCAGTGATCAATCTTCTGAATCCCCAGGTGACTAATGCTTGACAGCAACTCTCATTACTGTCACTGTCCATAAGCTTTACAATTTGTGGACTTCCACCAACTGCAGAGGAGTTACTCTTGGTCTAGTGCGAGAAAGATCAGATTCAGTTTCACTTGAACTTGTTGCCATATTTCTTGTTTAGGCATTAATAAGAGCTTAACAGAAGGCTTCACCTCTCTTAGACATGCTGTTATCCTTGTCTAGGAGTGCAGTGTCATTGCACTGGATTAATCAGATCTGAAGTCAGTTTAAATTAAATTTCATTTCTTCTGCAGTGGAAATTGCTGCTGGGACACAGAGGGCAGAATTTGGGCCACTCACTGAAAGGCAGAAGAGCCCACACATCTTCATATAGCATTGCACTGTGAGTAGGTTGTGATGGAGACGGGGACTAGATGAGACAGAACGCAGGAGAACAAAACAAAGGGCTTCAGTATCCTGCTTGTTGTAGGGAAAAGGCAGTGTTTTGTGATATCTGTAAGGCCTACTGATTTTTGTAAAAGCTAGACATGGTGACATAGGCTTCTTCATCGCTTGGTGACTTCAACTCACTGTTAGGTGGCACCATGTTGCCATTCTGGGGCTGTGGTCCAGGTTGTCCTGGAGGATCCAAGGGAGGAGCGGAAGGAAAGTGAAAGCCATTATCACACAGCGGCACCCTGCTGCTGTGGCACACCTCATACATGCCAGAGCTGCAGATGTCAGCGGTGTCTGTAGACTGCCTGCTACCAAGGAGTCCATGAAGAGCCTCTGCAGACCAGATACCTCCATAATTCATAGACAGGTTCGGGCTGCTTTTGTCAGTCCTTGCAGGGCTTCGCTTCAGCTCTGACCCACCCCTAAACTTTGGTGGAATATCTGTCTCTGGATTAGATGGTGGCTGCAGAAAATTTTCCTGTTCGGCTTTCGCTTGAATGCCATCCACTTCATGGATAAAAACATAACCAAAACTCTCTGGGTTAAAGCTTATATCAAAATTCTGCATGGCAAAAGGAACAGCATGGTCAGTTAACAGTAGCCATCTGCGTAACAGAAAAGATGCTTCAAGAGTTTATCTGATTTTAGAAGGGTGTTCGTTATTTTTTTAATTCTGAATGTAACCCTGAATAGACTTAAAGGTAGGTTAGCAGAGAATTAACTAGAACACTGCTTAATAACTTTTTATATGTTAATCTGAATCTATTCTGTGAGCTCCTGCATCACTGGACTGCTCTGCACGATGTGGTGTTTAGAGATTTTTTTGGAGCCACTTATCCATTGCTCAGCCATTTCACAGGAATGAGGGTGCTAAACCTGGTTGTTCCTTTCAGCTTTATCTTCCTAATTTAGCAATGTGATAAATTAAATGTTACCATTTCTTGAAATACACTAGGAATCCTTGCACTAGAGAGCACAAGGGATAGGAGAGTCTAAAAATTAAGAACTTGCTAGTAAATCACCAGCTGGAGAGCTGATGGGACAGAGCAGATGAGTTCCTTAGTAAAAAAAAAAAAAAAAAAAAAAAAAAAGATATAATAGGCAACCAATTAATCCTAACTGTTACAATTTGTATTACTTACACACCAGATTTTTATCTGGAAAAGAAGGGCTCATGCTCTGTGGTCTATGAGCAATACTGTTGGCCATGTAAGGGTACATGGATATCACCAGGGATGTCTGAAGTTGGCAAAGGGACACCCATCCAGCTCCATGACCACTGTTTCATAACAGCACTAAAATGTCCCAGTGGGAGAGGACCCCAGAAATATACCTGGTTCGACCTTGTGCCAGAAGTGGACTTAAACTGGGTTTTTCAGGTATCTTCAAGCCAAGACTCAAATGTTTCCAGTAGGGGATATTCTACTTCTTCTCCGTGCAATCTACTAGATTTAATTGTTTTCATAGGATTCATTTCTTATATCCAGATGAAGTTTTCCCTGAAGCAGTGCTGGCCTGTTACTTGTCCTGTCACCATGAATTCTTGTGAAGAGAGCATCTCACTGCTTCCTACCATTTAGTTATCAGTAGGCTGTGATTAGCACTCCAGCATTCTCTTTCCCACAAACCCAAATACTTCAACTTTTCTTCACATATCAAGTTCTTTAGCCCTCTATAGTTATTTTGCACAATCCAGAACTCAGGCTCTAGTTGAATTGTCTGTTATATCTATACATTTCACTAGCATCTGCCTGTGCAAATATTAGCTCTTTGAGTGGAATGTAGTCATTTCTGAAAAGTGGATTGGTTTGTGCAGCAAAGGCATGTTCCTTCTGTCATTACTACAAATTTTGTTCCTGATAGCCTATAATCAAGTGAAAAAGACAGCAGAAATACATACATTTTTTGGCTTCTTACACAGTCGCTCCAGAGTTATTTTATGATCAGGAAGGTTTGGCCACACAACAGGCTTGATCCTGAAAGAGCAACAGTAGACATCGTGGGGTTCAAGAGCAGCAAAAATGAGCCATGGTGAGATACCAGATGTTCACATTGTGTTATTTGTGCTAATTCTCACAAAGCCTTAGGAGTGGCTTGCGTTACCCAGAATAATGACTGAGAGAAGTTCCAGAAAGAAAAAGCAAAGACAAGAAAAGAGGAGATATAAAGGTCAACTAAAAGTCACTATACTTTTGAGTGCACAGACTGTCTCAGTTAAAGAAAGCCATTTCATCAAGTACTGGGAAAGCAGCAAATAGTGCTGGCAAAGATCTCATTTGCATCTAGCTGCGTTAACTGGGTTTTTCTGTACCATTTTCTGTAAGTGAAAACAAGAGGCTGTGGTTAAAGTGCAAATTTGCAGAAATTTGCCTCTGCATATTCACATTAGCCAAAGAATCGCATATTTTCCTAACCCATAGTCATTTTCCTGAGCTTCAGGTATCTGCAGTACAGCTTTGTCCCATAGATCTCCTCTTACTTCTAGCAAAGTTCTCATGCTGTGGTGCTGTGGAAGCCCTTAGCCATGATACATCCAAGCAACACAGCCTGCCTGAAAATCAAGATGGCAGTGATATAAGTATAGCAAAATGTATCAGCACTGTCTCAGCAACATTATAATATCATAGATACGTACAAATCTATATTCCTCTTCATATGTGTATTTGTGTGCATGTGCAAATATACAAAAATATAAAAACAAATAATAAATAAATAAATAAATAGTAAATAAATAGATAGAAAAAGATTCAACGTCTGCTTTTTTCAGCAGTTTTACACGTGCAGAACTTCCAGCAAAGCTGGAGAACTACAGGTGCTCAATAACACCGAAGAGCAAGAGCTAGAAATCTCAAGCTACATCTGTGATTGTAAATTAAAGAGCACCAAAGAGTATGCCCTGGCAGACAATTCAGGTGTCTAAAATGTGTAATAATTAAAAGTATTCTTGACATGCATTGACTGATGCCACCTGAACACATGGGAAGGCAATCCCCATGTGTGACTCAGTAGTTAGCACAGCTCAAATATTGCCCCCAGTAGAGTGGTTCACATGCAAACATCCCTGAAGATGTCAGCAGAGCTGCCATGGGCAGAGGCTGAATGCCTCCATGCAGCCTTGGGCCTCCACCTTGCAGGATGTTCATCTCCTGTGTTTTGAGAGTTTCTCATTTAGATTCCAGTTCTATCAGATTGTCCATGTATGTGTTTATTTTCTTAAATTTGTCTACTAACAGGTAGTTATCTACTCTTGGTAGCCAATATATACAAAAAAATCCAGGGGTTTTGTGTAGTTTTGCCACACAAATGGATATGGACCCAGCTGGGTTCGTAGCTGACATCAAGTCCTTGCTGCAGAGAGCAGTGCCCCACCACTTCCAAAAGCAGAGTCCTGCTGACTCAGACTGTGAAAGAAAAAGAGGCAACCTCCGCACTATGTAGTTTCCATACCTCTCAGAACTTTACTAAAACCCAGTTTGCTTTCTTTTCTGCATTTTACTTGAAGCTCTTGAGTCAAATGTGCCTCCTGTGAGACATTGACTATGTAAATGTCTCATGGTGGCTTCAGATCCCCAAGGTTCTCAGTATTTCAAGTCCAGGACTAAAGTCTGATTGAAGCAGCAGAGGTGTATGTAATAGGCCAACTGTTGCCTGCCAGTACTGCTTCACACGTTTCCCACTTCTACTCTTCACTTTTGGCATAATACAGAGGCTCAGAAATGGGAAGAGAATCATTCACAGGTACAACAGGGAAAGCAATAGAACTGTCAGAACAGGACTGGCTTACAACTTTCTTTCTCATATGAAAAGATCTAGATTACCATTACCTGCTTTCCCAAAACGTTAGGATCAGAACAATCATGACAACTGACAGAATGAATCCTGGGACGGAGAGTATAATCATGAACATGCTGCTATCTAAAGGCAAACACAGAATATCTGTCAGTGCATATATGTGCCTCACTCTAGTTGTAATGCCACCTCAGACAATCTATTAGGGATGAATGCCCAGCACTGTACCTTCTTACCACTGGTCTGGAGCAATGGTGCATTTCACTGACTCCACAAAAGTGGGGAGATATTGGGTAGCCATGGCTCCAGTCTTAGCTGAGCTTCAGGCTGGTTCCCAGCTGCACTGAAGCACCATGTGCTCTGCTGCTGCTTGCTGTGTCCTTATAGCAGCATTGATATGGTTCCCAGCCCAAGCTATGTCTAGGTGCTGCCAAGGGCTGGAACTGCTATGGCCACTAATTCATCCCTCCCCACGCTTTCATCACTGCTGCTGCCAGGGAAAACTAGTCTGTGGCCTGAGAACCCCTTAGCTGTCTTGGACCAAAGTGGTTTTTGTTCATACAGCTCTCTGTGGAGTGCTCTCCTGTGGTCCTGAAGCTCTTCGAAGTGCTCCACTCGCTCCACACGCCCTTAAAGTAATCTCCGTTGGGCTGAGAACGTACTTTCACCTCATACAATGCGTCTGTTTCGAGGTTTTTTCCGAGTAACTTTATCTGAAGGTATGGCGATTCTATGGTCTAAACACATAAGAAAATGCAATTACTTTCTAATAGGCATAGAAGATAAGAGCAGAACCACCAAAGCAAACATCATTAGTATTACACTGCTGGTAATGAACTTCATACTGCTTCTTCACGATGTTATGTCTTCCGTTTCCATGGCAAAGCCCAAGTACAAATGAATGAAACCTCTGTAGCCCAGAGAGGTACCTACCAGACAAGAACACTGTCAGCCATGAATTGCTTTGACTATCAGAATGCCATTTATTGCTCCTTTCCAAGCTGTCAGTTGCAAAACTGAGAAAGGCTCTGAGAGTTTTTGCATGATACTGATATTTACATGAAAAAATTTAATTTCAGAAATTAGGTAATCTTAACAATATATAATTACCTTCCAACTGCTTTCTTCCTGCCGGTAGGCTATCTGGTGTATTAATTTGTCCTTTAAATATTTCTTCCGTGAGTGTGGTGTACTATAATGAATGAGATATTCATTTGCCTCCTTTTGGTACGTTATGTTTATGTCAAAAGGTACCTCAGGCTTGACTGCAAATAATAACAAACCAAGATATAATGGAGTAATTTTCAAGTTAAAACCCATTAAAGATAACTATGTAGGTTGAGAGTGAGGGTTGCCCTGAGCTGGGTGAACTTTGTGTTTAGGTCAGCTCAGCATTATACCTTGGTCCCAAAAGGGACTTAATGATGGCCAGATGAAGCAGGGTTGTGTCAAGCACAGCTTAATAATGTAGCATGGCATGTCAGATTTATTCTTGGAAAGCAGTTCCTGAGTTTAGACATGTCCAAACTGTGGCTTTTATGTGATCATTCTTGGGCTCTTAGTGCCCCATCAGCACCACAGGCACCACAGGCTCCATCAAAATGCAAAGGTTGAAAAAATGACATCTTTCAACTCTGTGGTCACTGTGTGAGACTTCTAATTTCTGCTGAGCTCATTCTAGAATTGAACTGATAAGCCCTAATACTGTGCAAGTCCTAGTAAGAGATGAATAAAATGTCCCTGGTTATTAATACATCCAGGACCAGGATTAGCTGCTTTGACCAACTGCATAATAATTTAATCTGCATCCAGTTCTGAGCTATTAATAGCCAGAATTCAGATGCATGTTTTGAATGGGTGTTAATCATGTTAGGCTTTGAAGCATCACACACTATGAATACCCAAATCCAGACCTCATCCCTTCCTTGACCTTTTAGTTTGCCCTGGACAAACTTATTTCCTTCCACTAATGAGCATACACTAATAATGTCCAAAATGCTCAGTGCCTTACCAATGTCAGTTACAATCAGACTCCTGCAGGCCCTTCTCTTTATTTCATATTCCACACAAATGTCTTTATTTGAGAGTATGTCGGTGAATTGTAAAAAATAAACATCTTCCTGTTTCTCCATATTGAAACACAGGTAACTGCTGTCTTCCTTGGTACTGTTGGCCAAAGCAATACAATATTAGTTTCTTCTCAAAAGATTCTGTAAGATTTTGTAAAATTCTATGGAAAAAATCCTTGTTGCTAATTTCAAATAAAATGAAGTGAGACACCATATTAAGAAAGAAAAAGTATCATGCAGATAAGGAGATTGAAAGATAGATAATGCTTTTCCTTGGGCATAACAATCAAGTGATTTGAGTCACAGTAAGAGTCCTGGAGTTCTCCAAGAAAAAATCAGTTCAAAACAATAATTATTATATTGGAAATGCATGTGTTAATGTATCTTTAAAAATGATCTTACTGCTGCCATATTTAAATATTAATTTATATATGTATGGATACTCCCTGACGGTAATGAGGAATTTCCTGTTGACCACACTGGCATTATATACAGGGTCAGTGGTCAGCCAGGCCATGATGTTGTCATGGTATTGTTTCCGAAGTGGAAATGTGTCTGTTTGTTCTTCCATCTCTGCACCTCTTGTGCTTGTGGACTGCCATAAAACCTCAGCCAAAACCCTGAGTAAAATGCATGACAACAGAAAAATAAACTAGGTAGGAGGAAAAAAGAAAAAGTAATGATTAGAATAGTAAGGTGCAAAAGAAAAGGAAAATCCACTTTTGCTTGCAGCCATAGTACATTTAGTTTCAGGAGAATCAGACAGAGAGAAAGCAGAAGTATGCTACAGAAACAAAATCTGAACTTCTTCATCTAGATGTATCAGTTAAAAAATAAGTGCAAAAGTTTCATGGCCGCAGCTACAAGTGAAAATGACTGATGTGTTTGGTAACTCTCCCATTTTTGTATACTCATTTCATTATGGTTGTTATGTAAGTGTGCAAGGACAGTTGCTTAATTTTGTCTTGACATAGATAATGACATTTCCAGTAGAAAACCAGAATTCTCTCTCTTTTTCTTTTTTAATATCATTTAATATAAAGGAAAAATACTTTCATTTCATGCTCAGCTTCACCAGAAATGACAAATATTTCAGAGCAAGGGCGTAAGATGAGGAGGAGTACTGGAGATGTCATAATGCCCTTTACAGATCCTTCAGTTGACTTTTTTCTTGCTAAGGTTAGATTCTGCTTCAGTGAGCTCTTCTTCACTAAATATAGTATTTCAATTTGGTAAAGCACTCAAACTAAATTATGTTTTTCTGCTCCTGTTTCCCAACATTTGGCAGAGTGACTCATTGGTTCTTAAATTTCCCAGAAGTTTACCAAAGGACAGACTGAGACCACTTACCACACGGCCAGGGTATAGTTAGTGTTGTGAGGAGGCAGCTCTGTGAAATTGCAGGTCAAGCTGCTATAGGAATCCTTAAATTCCAGCTGGCTGAAACAGTCAATGTCAAAATTATCAGGTTCGTCATCTCCGAAGGTCCCTAGACAGAGATTAATAGGATGTTACTGAAGCAAACCGGTGTATGAATTCAATTTGCTGCTTCATTGTAAAGAAGATTGCTTCTTTATGTGGTTGCATGAAAGGAACAGGATCAGCCCATCTGTTCTGTAAGAAGCAAAGAAAGCTTGCTCAAAATGAAATTAAAGGACACTTGCATCTTCCATGATTGCTCTCTGTGCACGCCAATGAGACTCGCCCACTTGGTACGCACTGAGGTACATACGGCATCTCCAGTCTGCAAACTATCAAACAACACTTCATCACAGTTTGTTGTAAACTATGTCTGTTCCATTCTGCTACTTATGAGCAAAGAGGGATAACACTGTTGTCCTTGAAATCTCTGTGAATAGTCCTGTCTTCATATGAAAACAGAGAAAATATCTTGTCCACTTACCACCTAATTCCCCCAAAACTTGAGCCAGGCATGGGGCATTGTCACTGCAGAAGTTGTGGATGATCTTCATACCAAGAAAAATTGGGACTTTCTCCACCTGAAAATCATCTCAGAACTATCTCAAACAAGTTTTTTATTGGGAACCATGAAATGCTGCTACCCTTAGACACACAAAGTGGAGTCATACACAAGGACCAAAACACTTTTAAAAATAAACAGCACAGAAATATGTACTGGGGAAATATACTGTAGAGCTGCTGCCACAGGTGTCTGGGGCTGATGTTCAAGGCTAGTATCTGCTAATAAGCACAGGCTAGTTTTAACAGCACTTATTTGTACAAGAATTTCAGTGCAGAACAACCTATCAGACACTCATAGCATTAAAGCATCAGCCCCACAGCAGAGGAGGCACAGAATTGCCAGCACTGTGCCTGCACCAGACGTCCCAGCAGCCTCCTCCTGGTTCTGTCCTGGTTCTGCCCTGCCCATTCTCAGTCCCATGGTTCCTGAAAATCCTGGGGAATTGTATGGGAGTTTTTAGGAAAACAAAAGTATTGTGTCATGAAGCAATTAAGCACCACAGCACATTTTGACTGTACTGTAGAGTTTTCTGAAATGTCACAGACTTGGACTGAGGAGGGAAAGCTCAGACATTCAGCCAGAACATGTGTCTTTCTGCAAATTTGCTTTGATGACTCATAAAACAATCATGATTTGACTAAGAGCATACGTCTCATGTCCTCCACTTGGCATATATGATGTCAGTGAAACAAAAGTTGATGGTTCTGAGAGGACTTCTCCCTGGCACTTCTCCCTGGCTTCTACCTGCCAATTTAACCTGATTTCATGAAATGCAACATACTGTAGCCAAGCAGACAATGAAGAAGTTATTACAAGCCCTTAAATGGATTGCCAAGGCAGGGATGCCTCTATCCCTTCCACCAGGGGTTCAGTGTGGTTGTGATAATATTCAAACATATTCCCATGTCCAGGCACTATTTCCAGTTCTCTTCTTGGCCCTCTACTTCCCACTCCTCCAAAGTGCCCATTCCATGCTATCTCTTTCAGTGTGAAGAAAACTTGGACTTTTCCAGGGATATCAGTGATTCACATATTTGTATTTACAGTATGGGGAAATGCCCATGGAAACATTTCCAATGGAAAATCCCTCCCAGTGGACATCAGTCATCCCTGCTGTTGCCCAGTGGACTCAGATCACTGAGGGGTGAGCAGCCACTTGGACACTGTGATTCATAGTCCGGTGGTGAGACCAATGATTCCCAGCCAATCCTGCTGGGGAGATACAGACCTTATCCAGAGTGGAAGCACACCTGAGGATCCAAAACTGCTTAATAGCAGAGAAAGCAGAGGACAGTTTTTTCAATTGCTTTAAAAGGTAAGTAAAGAGTGTAACTCCCAGGGTCCCTAACAGCCAATGCTTCCTGCTGACCTCAGATCAGAAGTGCATCTTGCTATGAGTTTAGAGTAAGGGAAGTAATTTAAAAATCAGGAATCCAGAAAAGTAGGCAAAAGCAGTGCAGGGCTGAGAAGTGGGCTGCTGCCACTAGCAACTGTGTTCGGTAGCAGAAGGGATGAGAATGTCTGATGCTTCTCTGATCTATCTCCCAAGCTAAGAGAGGCTGTTTGCTACTGGAAGCAGCTGGTGCTAAGAAGCTGTTCCAGGTCTTCCCTTCTCGCTGCAGGTCTGGTGTCACCTGTCCCATAGGAGTTAGTAAAAAAAAGATGAAAGGTGATGACATGGGACATCTTCCACCAGCGCTGTTTGAGGAAACACTCTGTGCAGCTTAGACAGTGTAGGTAGAGGTGCCACCCTCTTTGACTACCACGTTTAAGGGAGACACAAAAGTTTGTGCATCTCCAGAACAAGCCCTGCAGCAGTTTCATGCGGGGAAATTCTTGACAGACAGAGCTCTGAGAGGTCTGGGCAGACGTGTAGCTACAAAAATGGATCTTCCTTAATATAGCAGAGAGACGCTGCTGGGTATTTTCTGAATATAAAAATCACATATACCACACTTCATATAGACGCACAAAATGGATAAATATTTTCAAACAAAGCATATCAGAATGATTTTTTCAACTATCTGCTACAGTTTTGCTGAAAACTGACAGAAATTTTAAGTCAGTCTCTTTCAGTCTGACTGTAGATTACATAGTTCCACTGTCATGTAATGTTTAAATAGCACAGAGAGTCTTTGATGCTGAGCAGAAGGAAAACTAACCTCATCTTTTTCACACTAAACTTTCACATAACTGATAATGTGGTTCCTTATTCATTGAAATAATGCCCTAATCATAGGATATATAATAAATAAAGATTATGAATGACATATGAAATTTGAAATGCTTTTACTATGTTTTTTTCTAAAGACTGAGTGATTCTTTTTGATACAAATGTGCATCACCTCAGTTATATCTCTTCCCTAGCCCTCAGAAACTCAGCATGCAAATGTGTCCACTGCATATAGTTTCAATGACTCCAACACAAACCACATTGCTAAGGACTCAATGCACAATTAAAAATTTACAAGATGATAATTTTTTCTCTTTGTGAAGCCCAGACCAGACAGATATCTGAGCCTGGCAATACAGAAATCAAGACAGAGCTTGTTACAGAGTTATTACAGTGCAAGAAAACCCGATCTTTTCAGAAATGGTCATCCGTTGGGTTTGGCCAATATCCAGCAGATAAGTTCAAATCACAGCAGGAGTCTTACAAGCCTTTACCAGGAGTGCTAGCAGAGGCTATTCTTGTGTGACAGCTTTATGCTTTGAAGCCACTAGGACTAACCACAATGTGTAAAACTGAAGGCACTGATAAGTGCCTGCATGCTCAGTGGCTGAGTCTGTGAATTCAACGAAGTGACCACTTCCATGAACAGAATCATGTGATATCTCTAGTGCTGACAGCAGCAGACAGTCCATCACTTGGACATAGGATTGATTTGATTCTGGGAGGACTTGTTTTCATCACAGCAATTTTGCTGTGGATTGCACCAGCTGTACAAGTCCAGCTGGAGAAGAAGGCCATCGATGCTGGCCATCCTGCTCATGGTACCCTGTCCCTGCTTGTGCACACATGCAGGATCATGGCTGCTCCACTGTAGTTTGCCTGGGGCTACTCTTCCAGGCCAGGAGCCGAGGAAGCACTTCTCACAAGGCAGCCTGCCACTCATCATAGAGGGGGAGATGAAGGCAAGTGCCAAAATGAACTTTTTCTTTAATTTGTTGGCCAAATCTGTGGCACTCATGAAGAAATCATAACAGCTTGTGGTTTCTCTGTGTGGATTTTCTGAGCATCTTTCTCTTTAATTATAGCAAAATATTAGTTATGGTTTACTGGAAGCTAGTGATGAAATCAAGGAAAGGTCTTCTCCCCTCTGCTGTTGGGGAGCCCTGAGTATGTCAGTGACATCAGCTATAAATCACTGGCGCTGACCTCTCACTGCTGCAGCTTTTTGCAAAATCTGGCTCTAGGAAGCTGCAAATTGTATAAACAAAATATAAACAGAAAAGAAACAAACGAGTTTGAAAAGTTGCAATTCAGAGCTCTTTTCTGTTTTCCTCTAACTCAAAAATTTACTATGCATACCCTATCTCTGTCTATATGAGAAAATATGTACATGTATACACACACATATGTATTAATGCTATACTATATATAACAATCAAGCAAGATATTCCTTGTCATTAAATCCACGAGAGCATAGGTACACAAACATCACGTTCCTAATAACCAGAAGACACTTTTGCTCCCACACGATAAAGTTCTGGTGTCCTGTAGCTGGCACTGAGTGACAGTCGATGTCTTTCAGAAAAATGCAATAAGCTCTCTCACTGCTGTTTATTCGTATCAGGCAAATATTTAACAGATCTGATACAGAATCTGTAAATGCAGTTTTTGAGATCCCTTTTGAGAAAAGGGATAGCAGATTTAAAGTGGATTTTATCATCACTTTTTGTGTTTTGCTTTTCGATTTTGATGCTTCTAAATCATTTTTACTTGTCCACATAAGATAATGAAACCTGCAATAAGCCTGAATTTAAACTTTTGAGTTAGTTTTTAATTCTCTGTCATGTGAGGGGTTAATATTCTTAGTGACAGGCTGTGAGAAGCCCCTGGTCCCAGCTACTACACTGACAGAGACTGGGGCTGTTCCCACATACAACTTCCACAACTGTTCAAAGAAAAAGAAGAAAGTTTTTTCTTTTGTAGTGGAACAGGTTAGGCTTGAGGTGCATTAAGACATTTTCTGTGGAGGAAACTGGCAAGTGAAAGAGAAGCCAGAAACTCAGCCTTCTCTAATGGCAACTCAGAATGATCCTAGGCTGCAGAAGAGTAAAGCAGCACTCTACTCATAGGTGCAACTCCTCACGTAAACGCTAGAAGCAGGAAGAAAGGATTAACAGGTCTGATCTTGCATGGCTTCTGCATATGGCTGTCATACAAGTTTGAATGTTGCAAGGACAGAAGATTTGGGAATGAAACAGATAATCCTTCAGCTCTACATACATCTCCAGTACTGGCACTAAAACAAAGAGAAAGGAGGCTAAAACACTAACATATTCAACCCAGCAGTTGCATTTTTGAGCTCTTAGTTCAGTTTTTCAAGATCATACAAGAGTGCAAAGATGAACATGAAATGACTCACCATCACCATCTGCTGAGGTGTAACCACTTTCCCCAAAAGTGGTATGAAGAAACAAGATGAGAATACTCAATACTGTACTTGTCCGTGTCATTCTGAGCATGCTGCATGTGTGCAGGACGTGTGTGTGTGAAACCCTCACTCACTGACTTTATACTAGATGCAGAACAAACCCATTGCTTGATAAAGAGACCGCAGGCAAGGGAAATGTAAACATACTGGCAAGGATGACTAGTGGCAGAGAGCAGGAAGCCAGAGAGAAGATATTTGCAGAGCTTTTACTTTGAAACACATTTCCTATTTCAAAATTAAGGACCTTCTGGATCAGGCCCATTGAACACACTGATGAAGTCCAGTGGGTCAAGAACAAGCTTCATGGACCATGTGCTTATTCGATCCAGTGAGATTTCTGCTGCTGATTTTCCTGAGAAAATGGTTCAGACCTTGTATCTGCTTTCCTTTCAGTGAAGATACACTGGTCCAGGAGAGAAAAATCTTCCAGCTATAAAATGCTAATTATAATTACTGTTTTTATTCTTTAAGTGTTGGCATCGTACAAGCCAGCAATGTGTCCTTGCAGCCTGGAAAACCAACCATATCCTGGGCTGCATCAAAAGAAGCATGGCCATCAGGGTGATGGAGGGGATCCTGCCCTTCTGTTCTGCGCTGGTGAGGCCTCACCTGAAGTGCTGCATCCAGATGTGAAATCCTCAGTACAGGAGAGACACTGATGTGTTGGAGTGCATCCAGAGGAGGGCAACAAAACCGATCCATCAAACAGAACACCTCTCCTACGAGGACAGGCTGAGAGAAGTGGGGTTGTTCAGCCTGGAGAAGTGAGGTGGCCTGATAGTGGCCTTTCAGTACCTAAAGGGGAACTAAAATAAGATAGATTTAGGTTGGATATAAGGAAAAAGTCTTTTACAGTGAGGGTGGTGGGGCACTAGAACAGGTTGCCCAAAGATGTGGTTGATGTCCCATCCCTGGAGACTTTCAGGGTAAGTCTAGATCAGGCCCTGGGCAACCTGATCTAGCTGTGCATATTCCTGTTTATTGCAGATGACCTTTAAAGGTCCCTTCCAACTCTAAGGATTCTATGATTTTAAGTACAAATAAGGCAATGTTGACAAAAAAAAAAAAAAGTTATTTACAAGATTAATTCTGCAGAATACAGTTCTGAGAACAAAAGTGGTGCATCTCACTTTTTTTTTTAGGCTTTGGACAAAGCAAAGGCAGAAAAACGATGGAGATGAGGTTAAATATTTCCTTTGCACACTTTCTCTGGCTATATACACCAACATACTCCAGTATGTATTACAAGGCCATGCATTCAGCTGACTGATGTGGCTAGATACAAGTGAGCAGAAGACCTGAAAGAGGAGAGCAAGCTCCAGATCAGCACTGGCTGCACCAAAAAAAGCTTTATGTCGCAGACATGAAGGAAACTGAGGGCAAAGTTGGTAACAATGCCCGAGCAAACTCAAAAGTCATGACACTATAAAAAGTGCAACATACAACCCACAGTGGCTTTTGCATTTCATTTTCAAAGAATTTAAACCACTCACCAAAATGATGAAAACTCAACCCTCACATCTAGACCAGCGTCCTTCTCATCTGGGTGTTAAGGTCTATCTTCCAGTGTAGCTTCCTACTCCAGGCAGGGGCAGTGGGGGTGTCTCTGGGCTCCCTAGCTCTATTCTAATGGAAAGAAATGGCCCCTTTTGGTAAGGCATTCAAAAGACAAAATTTAATCCTTTAAACACATTAATTTCTCTCCACTGAACACAAAAAGAACCAAAGTAACATGGAGGTAAACATCTGCTAGATAGATCTCCATGATCCATCCCACTCACAGGCACAGGAGGGATCTCCTGGGTTTCAGCCACCTCTTGTACAAAGAAAAAGAGGTGCTGGATGCAGGGCCATGGAGCCACTGGAAATGGCCTCACCTTGGCCTAACCAGGCCCACTCAAGAGGAGCCTGTAGGGTTATTTGGGGAACTTCTTCATTCCTACGACATCCCCCCAAGAAATATTCCCCTTCAGAGGTCCTACATAACTGGCAGGACTTTAGGAGTAATAGGCTACTCATCTCTCACTCCTGACCTTCCTGTACTTGATTTCAAGCCTGTTGACCACAAATGTGGATCAGAGATTGGGTCTCAGTGAATTCATGTCCCGGACTGTCCTTTCTTGATAAAGAACACCTGCATCTGGCTTAGTAATATTCGGTATCATATTATTCTAGAAATCATTAAGTTAATTTCTACTGCATTTTCAATTAGAAATGTCAATAAAGGAGGGCTTTCCTGGGCAAACTGATTGCTGCCCGGAAATGACACCTTTTCACTTTAAATTTGTCTTGTTTATAATTGAGTGGGCTATCACTTCGATCATTTTTTTTTTTTTTCCTGTTTCAGCTAACTAAAAGAAAAAGACTTTTCAGAAATAATATTTTGGCTGAACCTCAGACAATCTTATTAACAGAGCTGTGCTGCTGAGGGGATTTCCATGTTGTCATAGCTGCATTTTGTCTGGGTGGGGAAACGAGGGACCACAGTGAAAAGAAAAAAAAGCCAACAACCTAGTATAAAGAAAAAAACAGAAGCAAAAATATGTTTTGTTTTACTTCTCAGTCTCTGCTTCAAAAGTTATTTGATTTCTAAGAAGCATTTGAGTCTATCAGTCTCACTTTGGTGTCTTCCTCTAATGTACTAGAGATGGGAAATCAAATTTACGAGAGTCCAAATTTTAGAGTAGCTGAAGTATTAATACTCAAGGGGTGGAAAGGAGACGGAATTAACCTTTTCTTGCTATGCATTTACTCTGCTATAAATTTACTCTGCATCTATCTCCTAATTCAATGTTATACAAGAAAGAAAAAGACATTTTCCTAAATCTAGGCTTAAAATTTGAGCAGAGTGATACATTTGTTTATTCTGTTGTAACAGTCTTAGATCCTCTGGAAAGCTGATGGATCAGGAAAATTAAAAAGGTATATAAAAAGAATGGTTTAAAGTAATAACCTTTTAAACAGGTAAGGCTTTGGACGATACAGCAAAACCATACCAGTCCTTCCCAGTGATGTGCCAGTTTTCACTGTCTCAGCACTGTTAGCATTTTTGAGTTATCCCAAGCCTTCTGACATTTTTGGCCATAGTCTAAGGCCAGGTGATAACCCCACTGTGGAAGGAATTTTTTTCTGTGTCCTGTGGTTCTTAAGTGCATGGAGTCATGAAGTTCCCACTGACTGCTACAGATGATCTTGTAATTTCTTGTGCTTCCTCTTGCCTTTCAGCCAGTGATTATGACTAATCAAGCAAGTCATTTATAAATTTTCACATTTTATACAGCTTGTTCACTCATTTTTTAGTACACTGAGGACACAAAGTCTGTTTAAATTCTGTTTTGCCCCCCCCCAAAAAAAATGGAAAAGGCTTCTCAATTTACTCTAGATTTTTTTAGAAATATGAAGATGATAAATGTCATCATTTTACCACCTATCCATCTCAAACATGTCAATTCAAGGAGATCCATCACCATCTGTGGTTGCCAGGTTAAACAGGTCCTCCAGACACATTTCAGTATGGACACAGGTCATATAGACAGTCTGACAGTCAGAAGATACAGGCATCCTTGTGTGTGAAGAATTCATTTGGTGTGTTCTAGACAGATAACTTTAGGTGAAATCACAACCCAGCTTGGGACTGGGAGGGAATATTTCTCATGTTAATAAGATTTGTCAGAAGTTGTTGGGCTTCTGGGCTCTCTCTATGGCACAAGGCATGTGGTTTTTTTTTCTGTTCCCTGAACTATTAATAAACTCATTTCATTACAGAACAAGGATGTTGGTCCATCTGCTTCACTTATTCTGTCCTGCTCTGCCCTGCACTTCAAGTAGATGGTGGGATGGAGAGAAGGATGGCACAATATCTTTCCCTTCAATAAGCCATGGGTGCTAATTCAAGACAGACTTTTGACACCTCTTTAGGTCCATCCTCTTTCAATACAGTATTGAAATTTATGCATAAAGTTAATGCTTGTAATCTTCTTTAAATTAAAGCTTCAGCACTTGTAAAAAGTCTGCCACAGGTTTTTTCTTGTTGTTGCTGACAGGAAGAAAAATTGGGGGATTCATGCAGCTCTGAAACAAAATTTTATAATTTCAATAAATGCAAAATCCAGGTGCCAACAAATAACCATATTTGTAAGGTACAGTTAAGGGTTGGTGAAGATTAAAACACGTGGTTATTATTATTTTGTTGTTGCTGTTAGGAAAGAGTTTGGTAAAGCTGAAGTCAATAATAAAGCAGACTCTTGCTAGATGTATTAAACATTTACTCAAATATAGTTTCGATTTTATTCTTTTTTTACCAGATATGCTTGGAAGCAGAAATCATCCAACCAGCTTCAGCAATGAGAAAGAGGACTTCTACACAAGAAATTCACATTTTTTTATTGTTGTTGTTTCTTGACATTTCTCATTCTGAACTGCTTTGAGGGACCTCTCCTTAGCCTCAGGATTGTTTTTCTTGGTACTTTGCTAGTCCAGGAGTGGGAAGTGTTGCTTAAGGCAACATCACCATGGACAACAAGACTTGAAGCCTCAGAGAGAGAAAAAGGATATGTATATATGTTAGATAAGAATCCTGGTCTGGTAAGAATTAAATCCTGAAATTGAATGTAGTTACTCTGGAGGACATTTTGTATCCTCTATCACCAAATTACACTGAGATTTAGAATACAATGTGCAATGCAGGGTTGAAAATATTTAGTCCGATTCCAGTCCTGAAGAAAGGAGGAAAGAGCAGAAAATTTTCACAATTCTTTGCACTTTCTTTGTCTTTGAGGTATTGATGCTTGAAATTATTGCTTTGAATTTCCCACTGGAGCACTAATGAATTTATTAATAAAGGAGCCCTGTGATGCTGAAAGAGGAATAAAGAAAAATTAAAAAAAAAAATTACTACTGGGTAAGGAGCAAAACAGTAGTAGTTTGCACTTCAGTCATGCTTTCAAATATTATGAGACCATTCCCCAAAACTACATGAGAAGCTAAAAATGGTGATAGTTTCCCCTCTATTGAACAAATACAGCAACAGCAGCAACAGGAACAGTCATACTAATACTTCTGGGCTTCTTTTGCTCGCCTTTAAGTTCCTAAAAGTCTTCAGGAAATGCTGAGTGAAAAAAAAAAAAAATTC